CGATGACCTCATTATATTGGCGCGTGAATCGCACCACACCCTCGCTAGAGTAGTGTTGACGGCGCTGGCAAGTGATTCAGTGTGTCGACAACGGTCAGGCGCCGCCTTCGCGGCACGCGCTGAACGGACGGACGGACGGACGGACGGACGGTCGTCGAACTCTGAAAGTAGCCACTAGAAAGCGAGTTAGGGGTAGTTTGGTATCTGGAAATCGTGCTTCTAGATTGATAGAACCCTTATGCAGAAGTTGGGGAAACAGACGCTCAATGTTTTGCAAGTGTATGTGCCCACGGCTTTAAAGAAAGGACCACGAAACCGAGCGTTTTTGCGAGGAAATAGGAAAGTGAAAGGAAGTTCGTGTTGTTGTATATTCGAAACCCGTAGAAGAATTACGCGCCCCAATGCGATTTCCAGCGGTCTCGACTTGTTCGCTGAGTATCCGATTTGCACAACAGTAATGCGCAGCGATTTGAGGCGAACGTGGCCCAATTCTACCTTTTCGGTTACTCTTGCTTTCCGCGTCTTGGCAATATTTTTTCCTCTAGTTCTTGTTCTGTTTACAAGTTTAACCTTTTTTTGTTCAGCGAGAACTTCGGGAATATGGTGCGTATGAACGTACTCTCTGATGCGCTTAATAGTATCAATAATGCTGAGAAACGTGGGAAAAGACAAGTACTCATTCGGCCTGCCTCCAAGGTAAGAGTAATTCGTACCTATTCAAGGGTGTTCAAGTCATGAGTTAGTGCGCACGAGCTACCTCTCACAGCTTACTTTTTAGAAGAGGAGCGTGCCTCAGTCCAACTGGGCCAAGGCTCTCCTGGATTATGTCAAGTTCACTTTGTTTTTCGATTTGTTAGTATTTTTCGAGTAGAGTGGACTACCACTAATCTTGGAGACACCCTTGGTTCATCTGTAGCTCTTATTGCTGGTGCCGGCGAATATCAACGAAATCGCAAGATGCGTCCTTTGAAATGGTACGTCGCCGGTGAGGGAAGACTTTAGTGCTTTCTTCTTTGCGGACCTTTTGCCTGAAAGCCTTTTTGATCACTTCATGAATTCTTGATTTCGACACACCCCTACAATGTTCTGTAATGGTCTCTTTGTCATTCCAAGGTATCTGTGTTAGGTGACTGCGTTTGAATAAATAAAAAGAAATCTTGCTGTGGCCAATAAACGATAAGGGGCCTGTACTGTTACCACTGCTGTTTTGTGGTGATAGAAGTCGGAAGTCATCAGTTCGGTTTGTTTTGGGGATGGGACATTAGACCCAGTGTTGGAGAAAACACAGGCTCACAGCTTACCTGGGATGGTCTTTACACCTATCCTATCTTGGACCGCGTCACTTTCATAACTCGAGTTTCCATGACTAGCGAAGCTAACATTTACAGTCCACGTAGTGCGTTCAACGTGCGTCCCGCGATATCGGCGTCATTGTCGCGGCCGAAATCCAATGAAACGAAATATCTTTGGTAATTTGCAATAAATACGCTGAGCTCTTATTTCAAGAATTACGTCGAGGTGCTAGGCGGAGCAGAAGTAAGAGTCGTTGACGCACCGCACGACTTTTGAAGATCTTTCGGCATAACTGGCGAAGGATCCGGGCGTCAGATGGAAATGCACTTGAGCGCTTCGTATTGTACACCTTGTTTTCGGAATTGCTTTCAAATCGACTGAACTTATATGGCATTAAAAAAAGGACTGCAATAATTCCAATTTCGCCATGTACGACTATCTCTGAACCTCGGCATAGTGCAAACGTTGGTTTTCTTTGCTTGAACTCGAACGAGGTTGATAAGAAAACAACTTTATTCCGGCTAATGTTTCGGCGCGGATCGCCTTCTTCAGAGCCTGGAACAATCGAAGCAATTCATGATTACCCGACCAAATCCATCAACTACCTTACAGGAATTCGAGACCTCAGAGTTCATCACGCAATTGT